CTTTTAACATATATGACACCACAACTGAATCGGTTTTTTGATATATATGATTTTTCAAATTATATTCATTTAAGAGGGTGAGTCTTGGCGCAGCGATAAGGTTGTTTCCCTTGTGACCTGGAGGTCATTGATTCAAATCTTGAAAACCGTCTCTTCGCTTGTGAGGACAAAGCTACATATATCTACCTCCCCTTACCCCACCGGGTGAGCTGTTAGAGTGAAATTTGCAAGGTCTAGAGCTTCATATCTTATAACATAGTATATGCTAGCCATCCAAAGGATATGTTAGCTCTTAATATTACTTTTTGCATTCCTCAAATTTGTGAATTTCATTCTACAGGAGGGTGTAACGTTACTACTGATAAACTTAAGCAATCAGACTCATTTCATACTCACTATTGAAAGCAATGTGATTGAAGGAAATGAAGTGACCAAAAGCATCCATAAAGAAAATTCATTCTTTGACCAAGTCAAGAAAATGTTTTCCTGGGTTGGAACAAAAGGATCAGAAGTAACATTCAGGGAGGAGTACCATTTAACTCCAAAAGATGATTACCTTCAAAGCCAAACCATGGTCCTGAATGGTATTCCACTACAATTAACTAACAAGGGAGATATTCCAACATTGGATCCAGTACTCAGTAATGTACATTCCCCATTATACATAGCACCTTTATCCTTTGCATTTATTGTATACCCCAACTTTGATGCTCCAGCTTGTGCTAGGCACCGAAAACTTTAGTCTAAAGGTCTACAATTTTGCACTAGCACTGTGAAATTGAAAGCTCATGGTAATTGTGATTAGTGACTTAAGTTTTTGCAAAGCATTTCAGTTTTCTTTAGCAGACAGCTATTACAATAAATTTGGTCTAGTTATTGAAGTGACAATTTATTTCCGTTTTTTTGTTTTATATTTTCTGTTTTTTATTCATTGAGTTGGTACAGGAAAGATTACAGGTATAGAGAGTGGGTGGTAGCAGGCTAGCAGCCATTATATAGGTTTAGAGGGTTCAGTATTACTTGAAACAATTATTCAAGTTTTGGACTAATAGATAATGAGGACCGAGTTAAATCTTCTATCTTCATCAACATCTCACTCAACAACCGGATGTTGTTGGTGTCACTAAGATTAAGGAGTTGGTTAAGCTACTTCATCTCCTACTTTCTAGGATGTTGGTGTTACTAAGATTAAGGAGTTGGTTAAGCTACTTTTTCTCTTACTTTCTAGGATTAAGTTAGTGATTTTCAAGTCATTCTTGTAATCTATAATTAAACTTGTATTCTTCTCATGAAAGACAAGAGAATATTGAAACATCTTTATGGTATCAAGAGCAGTATAGCACAACTGCACATTTTTTTCCCGATCCTACTCCCTCACTATGAGCTCCTCCACTTCTAAAACTGATGTCAGGCCAAACAACACTCCCTCGACCACCATTGATAAGCTAGTGGTTCTTAATGTTGGTTCTCAATTGTACATCAAACTTGATGGTGACAATTACCTTGCATGGCACCTTCAATTTTTATCCCTTCTAACAGGATATGATATGATGGGTTACATAGATGGCAGTGTGCCATGCCCATCAAAACAATTGGTGATCAACATCATCAATCTAGCATACACTCATTGGATTCGTCAAGATCAATTAATCTTGCATGGTATTATCTCTTCAGTGGCTGCTAATGTGGTCACACATCTTAGCACAAGTTAAAACAACATATCAAGCATGGGAGACACTAAAAACTATGTATGAAAGTTGATCGACAACTCGTATTATGACCTTAAAGCAACACATCACCACCTTTACAAAAGGTACTCAGTCCATGGCAACCTATCTTTAAGGGATAAAAACAATATCTGATTAACTCTATATCATTGACAACCCTCTTGATAGCACCAATTTAGTCATTCATACATTGAATATCCTAAGTGCATAATACAGAGATATCTCAGTTGCACTATGCAGCAGAGAAACTCTTATCAGTTATGCTGAAATGCATGAGAAGCATATGGATTTTGAGACAATCCTCTCTCATGACAATCTGTATACCTCAAATACATTACTAGCTACAACTAATGCTGTCATACGACATAGTGGGCAAACAAGGTACAAGTCTCAAGCCAATGGATTAGTACCCTCATTTGCATCCAGCTCTAATAAACAAGTCATATGTCAATTCTGCGAGAAGCCTGGCCATGATGCAAAGAGGTGCTACAAAATCAATGGCTATCCTAGGAAATATGGAACCAAACCCTCAGTGCATCTGACTACTCATCAGCCACATGTGCATATTTCTAGTTGGATTATGGACATTGGAGCCTCTCATCACATCACACAGGACCTCCAACAATTAAACTTGGCAAACTCATATCTAGAAACATATAAGGTGCTTGTTGGTGATGACACAGGTTTGAATATTACTCACATTGGACACTCTTCTATTCCCACCAAAACTAAACCAGTATCTCTCACTCAAGTCTTGTGTGTTCCTCATATAAAATCTAATCTTGTGGTTGTTTCTAAACTATATCAAACTAACCAATGCTATGTTGAATTCTTTCCTGATTGTTTTCTTGTGAAGGACTTGAGTTCGGGTCAGCCACTTCTACAATGACCACTTAAACAAGATCTTTATCACCTATCATCAACCACACACACCATTGCTTTCCCTTATTCTCACAACACCAGTCTCCAATATCTCAACCTAGCATCATAAACTTAGTCATCCCTCCTTCAAAATAATTAAACATTTGGCAGATAGTCATCATCTTCCAATAAAGTCCCCGAGGTCACATGAATGTAGCTCATGCTACTATGCTAAAAGCCACAAGTTACCATTCTCAAACCATCATCTCAATAGCAGCAAGTCTTTAGAGCTCATTTACTCTAATGTCTGGGGACTAGCCCTTGTTAGATCATTAGATGGTCATCTTTATTACTTAATCTTTGTTGATCATTTTTTCAAATATGTATGGTTGTATCTAATGAAAAATAAGTCATATGACTTTTCTATCTTTGTTCAATTCGAGTCTATTGTTGAAAAATACTTTAACTTACCTATTGTTTCACTGTTATGTGATAATGTTGGTGAATTTGTTAAAATGAAACACTTCTTGACCACACATGGCATCTCTCATCTCACTACTCTATCATCTTGCTGTTTAAAGGAATTTATAGGCAGATGATAATTGAAGATACAATGAACCCATTAGTGTGCCAAAATAGTCATTTTTAACGTATTTTATAACATCTAATAAGGACTAATTTGACTCTAAAAATGACTAATGTGAATTGGAAAATGAAGTCCTAACTTGTGCACTTGATAACTTCTCAATTCTAAAATTAGAGCCCTCCTCTTTTGGGTATGTTTGGGTGTTTTGTTTTTTAGGAGAAGGGAAGAGATGACTTTAGACTAATTCTCCATTGTTTGGGAGTTAAGGGAATGAGGGGGAGAGGTTTTGAGGTGTTATGTAGCCGAAAATTTACATGAGATGAGTAGTTTAACTACTAAATTACTCATTTGGTGTAACTTTTTGGTTTATTATCAATATAGTGCATTTTTACATAAATCGTGTTTCACACGACTTTTAAACAAAGTTGCCAACGACGTACACGAGTTTGAGAATTGGTTTTATTTTTTTAAAACTCGTGATCAACATCCACAATTTTAATTTTTTATATTAATTTTTTTAAAGTCGTATTCTATAAGTACGATTTTCATTGTATATTAATAACTAATTTAGTCCTTGGTCTAGTGGTTATTACCTTACATTGTAAGGTGAAGGTACATGGTTCAACATCCACGATTTTTGTGTTGAAAGTAACTTTAATATCTAAAATAGAATATATAAAATTTGGTAATGAATATAATGCAATCTAATCGTATTGTATTAGAGTTCTTGTACAACTAATATATGTCAAAGTTATAAAATAACAAAAAAAAGAAAGAATAAACAATAGGTTGATATTTGAACCATGTACCTTCACCTTACCATATAAAACAATAACCACTAGAACATGAACTAAATTAGCTATAAATAAACAATGAAAATCATACTCATGGAATACAACTTTAAATAAAAAAAGTAAAATCGTGGATGGTGAGCACGAGTTTTAAAAATTAAAATCATTCCCCAAACTCATGTATGTCAATGACAACTTTGTTTAGAAGTCGTGCATATGAAACACCATTTATATAAAAGTGCACGCACTATATTGATAATAAACCAAAAAGTTACACCAAATGAGTAGTAGTTTAGTAGTCAAACTACTCATCTCATGTAAATTTTCCGTTATACAGCCCTCTAAAACCCTCTATATAGTCATTTTCATTTCCCCAAATTTGGGGTTTTTTAAAGATAAACATGTCAAAGTATCTAAATGTCTTTACTAAAATTTTATATAATTGTTTCTAATACATTTCTCATTATTAATTAGATTTTTAAAGGGAAAGTAAAACATTTTTTGTATTATCATTATTTAGTCTCCCCATCTAAATTTTGACACTCCCAACAAAGTGGAGGTTTTACCTTCATTTGTCTTTCTTTCTTCTATGATTCCTTTTCTCTCATTACCTTGATTTCTTTCCTTCCTAACTCCCAAATATAGGGAAAAACATCAATTAAATAATATATCTCAACTTTCTCTTCTCCATCTTTATGTTGATGTTATTTCCCTCTAATTTCTCCCTTTCTTTTCTTAGGATATTTAATTAGCATCAACTTTGTCCTTGAATGGTAACAGCCTTGTCTTTGAATGGCAACAAACTTATTTTTGAAGGGAAACAACCTTATCTTTGAATGAAAATAGTAATATCTATAAGTGATAACCTTTTCTTTTAGTTTCATCATCCTTTTTAGCAGTAATAGCATTTTCTTTAAGTGGCATTAGCCATATTGTTGAGTTGCACTAGCCATATTGTTGACCGGCAATAACCATAACAATAATCATATATATATGAATTTGCATTAGCCATATTATTGGGTAGTGATAGTCATATTGAGAATGTAATTCTAGAGTAGTTTCCACAATGCAATGATTATCTAATTTAATGAACTGTGTCATTTTAAGATATTTCCTTGTGTAATGTCTATCAAAGATATTGCTTGTTCTTTTGATTTTGAATCAAAAATTGTTTTTGTTTTGAGGGGTGTTTTCACATCTTCTTAAGCTGAAATTGGATGAGAAGATAATGGTCTTTGTGATGAACTTTATGACTATTAGAGTACTCTTAAGATTGTATCAAGGAAATCTATAATGAGTTAGAAAGGGGATATGCTTTTTGGGAGGCGAACATTAAAAACAATGTCGTGAGCCGCTATCTCATATTTGAAGGTATGTCTTTATATGATCAATTTGAAGTATCTAAGTTTACAATATCCTATTTTTTGAAAAGATGCCCATAAAATTGAAAGATATCATTGTCATCCTCATAAATCAGAATATCTCCTCCTTCGCTCCTTCACCAACTCCTGCATCGCAAATCCAAAGACAATATCTTTTGTCCTTTGCTATTCTCAAATGACATCCTCAACCACCGCCATCTATTGTCGTGTGCCCTTCTTAGTGATGTCACCATTGTTGTCCCAAACGCAACAATTATTATCATTCGAGAACCATTAACCTTGGTACATATGAACACACCTTCCCTTGATATCCCTTTCATTATTTATGTCTCTAGGTTAGTAAATTGGGATTATGAGTAAATAATTTTATTCAGTGAAATTAGGGTTTGCCCATTTTTGGAAATCTATGTATAAGTGGTGGAATCAAGTTTATGAGGGTGGATTCAATGTGGGTGTCAAAGAGATGAGTTCTAGCATCGTAGTTTTGATTTAGAACAAAACTAAGGGCTATACTTAGAAGTGAAATCTAATAATTGAAACAAGTTTTTTTCTCCCACTTGCGGATACTGTTGACACATATAAATGGGGCACCTTATGGTTTCTATTGCAATTTCTATAACATAATAATTGTATAATTGATCTCTTCAATGACCTATCGTTGTTATTATAAGATACTTGCACAAAGTTCTTTGTGTTAATGGTAGATTTTTAGTTAACAAATGTTGTATAGAATGCAAATCTAAATTGTACGAGGATTAAACTAAGGTGCACCATATTCTTGTCATTCAATGCAATAACATAAGTTCCACTTCACTTAAAGGCTAACTTAATGTTACTTTTGTACAATGTTATTAAAACCATACCGGTTATCAAACCGGTTAGGGTACTGGTATAGTGGTACAGTGGTTCAACCAGTGGTTCAGTAATTAAACCGCATGCCGGTTAAACCGGACATACTTGCTTTTATATATATATATATATATATGTAAACCTATAACAAAAAATTTCAAATAAGTAGATATTCATATTTATAATCCATATTCATAATTTACTTCAAATTCACACAAACAAACAACATTAAGTCTTTAATAAAATCAAAGTCTAAAGTACAAAACATATATTTATCCAAAATTAGCACTTAACAAACGCAAAATACAAATAAATGACCAAAGTATCAATCATTGAAGTTGAAGAATTGGTGAAGAATTGAAAATTTGAAATTTAAAAAAAAAAAAATTAATGTACAAACCGACCGGTTTTGACCGGTTCTATTGCATATGCGGTATAACATACGTACCGTACCGGTTAGGGGTTCGGTTCACCGGTTTTCCGGTTGAACCGGCCGGTACGGCACGATTTTTTAAACAATGCTTTTGTATATTTAAGAACAGGACTAGTAGTGAGGAACAATTTCAAGATATATGTTGTTTATTCACTTTCGTAATTCCATATATTTTGTATTATCTGTTGGTATATGATTCTCTTCTAAAGCAATTTCTATAATCCTAAACAATGGGCCCAAAATAAATAGAAAAATAGAATCCTAAAATAAAATATAATATTTACTTCATCACACATCATCCACTTGTAATGCCATTGATGTCAAATATGACTTGAAAATGGTAATAGATTTAATGAGGTTAAATAACCCGAAATTTACTCATTTCAGGAATAATAGTATAATATAGTCTAAAACACTAAACCATACCAAAAAATGTCAATTAGGCACTAAGAATCATTAACAATAGTGAAATAAGGTTATGAATAATGTGAAATATATGACTCATCACTTTTACTCTTGCACTTTGCATTCTCATATCTCTCATATACAGACTTGAGTGTCGGAGAACCTTTTCAGGTATCTCCCCAAACGCTCCAAGATGAATCTTTAGACGACACTAGAAGACTCTGATTTACCACCATATATTCATATCCCACCTTCCCAAAACTAAAGTACAATCATCTTGTACCATCTCATTTATTCAATTTTTCTAGAATGAGTGTAAGAAAAAAAGAGGTAAAAACATGTGAAAAGTTATGAAGGAGTAACTTCGAAATAAGTTATTTGTCAAAAGAAAGTTGAAAAATATAAGTGAAAATAAAAGGATGAGAATTGTATATAATTAATATAGTAGTAATTTTGGTTGAGAGTGTTCGAGGAATTACAATCATTGTTAATATATATGGCAAAATGGACAACACTCATATACACGTCCGCGTAGCCGGTTTTTTTTAGGGCATCATATAGAAATTTTGCATATTTGCCTATTTTTTGAGCGGCCTGTAGGTATAATTAAAGACAAAAAAAAATAAGAAAATTAGAATAAATGATAATGTAATATGATTTTTAATGTCTCAAAAAATTATAATCTAATGTGACTTGTTTAACTTCATATAAAAAATCCAATTTTTTTTTAATTTTTTATTATCTGCTATTTATTTTCTTATATGAGTTTTTTTAATTATTGAACAACACTCATGAGCTGCCCGCATGCTTGTTAGCCCATTTTAAAATGGGTGTGACTTTGAATTTTGTCAGTTAATACAATGCGGACATGTCCACATTTGCTTAAATTTTTATGGGCATTTATAAACAATAATAAAAATATAATATTGTCCTGATATTTTTTATTTCATAGACCATGTCTATAACAAAATAAAAAATAGTGATTACGAATAAAGTATTGATTTAATAATGTAAAATTCCGCTAGATTTCAAAGTGAGCAAAATGTAATTTGTTTGATTCGCGGGAGTGATATTTGTTGCAAGAAACAACCATACATTCCGAAAAGGATTAGTTCATTACAAAAAACGGTGAGAATATACGTTGGTAGTACCAAAAAAAGTTAATGATCATTTATTCATTGAAGATTTTGCCAAGAGCAATTTAGTTATGTGAAAATAAAGTTATCAAACTATCCTTAAATATACCTTTGGTGAGATAATGTATTTCTTATAGCTATTTTCATGATGCAATTTAATCCCGAAACAATTGAATTAGGAGAGAAATATATATATATATACAATGACAGTGTAAGAGATTCTTACAATGTCACTGCAACACCCATAATTCATTTTTTAATAATTATTGACTTTTAAATAAAAATAATATAAATAAATGATAGATGATATACTAACTGTGTATAAATATTTATATTGTCTATGCATAAATTTTATACTCTTGAATTATGTTGAGTGATATGTTGAAAGTGGTGATGATAAAAATACATGATATATGAGTACCCATAAAAATAAATTCATAACTAGTATATATAATAATAACTTATAGATAAATATGAATATCATAATACCGCCCTATAAATAATAATATAAATTTACGTTTTAATTAAGTATTATATATATATATATATTATAATTTATACTATTTTTAGGTTACATATTATCTATTTTATATAGATTAATTATTATAAAATATATAAATATAATTAAAATTGAAAATTTATTAAATTCCAACAAATATCCATTATATCTACGATACTATCAGTATTCATAAATATGCGGATATGAAACAAGAGACTAACTACTATGCACAAATTATTGTTTTAGAATTTTAGAGAAGAAAATTGTACTATTAACGAAAATTTTCAAAGAAGCTGCGGTCCCAAAATCGTAATAATTTTCAAAAAAATATTGACAGTGTAGGAGTTTTTTACACTATCACTGCATTATTCATCATTCATTTTTTATTATCCTTGAATTTTAAATAAAAATAATTCAAATGAATGGTGAACAATACATTGACTGTGTATAAATCTTTATATTATGAGTGCATAGATATATACTTTAACTTTATTCATTAGTGATGGTCACTTAAATTTGTTATTACTACATAAGTTCATCTGTTCATGCATTATTGACATCAAAATTTGGTAACTGCATCTTTTCTATCTCATGGTGATGGATGAAAAATTGAGTCTTGACATTTAAAGTGTTAAGCTTGATTTTGGAGGTGGGTGGAGGATTATGTTCAAGTCTTTATACGTAGCAAACATTATTCATGATTATATACACAAATCTCAGTAGTTTAAAAGGTAAGTTTGGATTTAATAGGTACGTAGGCAGATACTGTCGTGTCTGTCAACCCACTTTCCTATTTTTTGTATATTCAATTGAGATAATTGTTCAATCTTAATAAAATGATAGTTTGCGACTAATTTTTTTTATTGTATGCAACTCTGTAAAATTGGTTGGCTTGCTCGGATTTTATGATAGATGAAATGTAACTCCATGAAAAAATTAGAAAAAATGGGATAAATTTAAGTCACGGAGTTGTAAGAGGAAATAAGTATTTTTGGTTACAAATGTATACTTATTAGCAAGGGCAATATGAGAAATTAAAAATTATACGATCTTGATAGTTATAACATGTTTTCCCTTTATATTAGTATAGACATATTTACTGTGTAATTGTTTTTTATGTTATTGACACATTATCCATCATTTATATGTTAACCATAATAATAGAAACCAATAATTAATAATATTAACCTCTTTAAGTTTATGTTCCACTTCAAAAATAAAATTTAAATTTCCGTTAATAGATTTTAACACTTTTTAACGAGATCATCATTTGAAGGGTTGCTTCAATTTTCTCATATATTATCGTCTATCATTTTATTTAATTTTTCTAGAATTAGTGTAAAAAAAGAGAGAACAATTTGGTTCATGAAAATAAAGTTATCAAATAATCCTTAAATATATCTTTGGTGAGATAATGTGATTTCTTGTGATGCAATTTAATCCATAGAAAATTAAACTATATTGAGTGATTATCTGGAGGGATGGATTTAGCTAATAAGAAAAAGTGTATAATATCAATCTACCATTTATTTATATTATTTTTATAAAGTGTTAATAATAAGTATATATAAATGATAAATAATACAATAACAATATATAATATTGAAAAATATAGGAAGGTATTGCGTGATAACATTCAAGGAATAACTAAGCCTGCTATTCGTAGATTGGCAAGAAAAGGTGGTGTTAAGAGAATAAGTGGTTTGATTTATGAAGAGACAAAAGAGGTGTTCTTAAAATCTTTTTGGAAAATGTGATTCGTGATGCAGTTACTTAGGAGGAAGACTGTTACTGCTATGGATGTTGTTTATGCCTTAAAGAGGCAGGGAAGGACCCTCTATGGATTTGGTGGTTGATTTTTATTTAATCGATTGATGATTATGTAGTATTTTATGCTGTATAACTAAGGTCCTTGGTCGACATTATAATTCAATCATAGTTTGGTTTCGTTTTTTGGATATATTTGATGACAATGATTTATATGATGATGCTGATATATGTTTAGTTTTGTGTTGCCTACACTATTAGATAAGCAACAAATCTTTGGTATAAAAAATCAGAATGAATCCCTTTTTTATTTATGGTTGATCACTTTGTATTAGAAGACTTTTTTTTTTAATTTTATAATTTTTTTACTTTCCATTAGTAATGGGGATGAGTTTTTTTTCTATCTGTCTACCTTTGGTAGATCCCCCAATGCAATTGAAACAAATTTCACGCGTCACTTGATGGATGAGTTCGACAAACTTAACAGGAAGTGTGGAATTAAGTTTCTGGTCTGATTGATGTAATAGAGAGTGAAAGTTGTTGCTTAAGTGTTAGTGGCTATGAGGTCATGTTTTCAAATATTGGAAACAACCTACATGCTTGCTAAGTAAGACTGTGTATGTTTGCTCTCATAAATGGGAGGATCGTGCATTAGACTGTTCTTTGTTTCTATGATGG